GAGGGGGTGGGGTCTTGGTGTGTGCCACACCTTTGGGGAGCAAGACACGATTGTAAGAGGGTCTTTGGTTGTAGCCGTCATTGTTGTTTGGCGGGCCCTGTAAGAGGGTCTTTACCTAACAAATGCAATCAGTGTAACCTGGTTTCTTGTACCCTCAATGAATCCCCAACAATAAAAAAAAAATGATACGGCAAATCCACACTGAATACCTCATTATTCAACTTTAGCATATTACTAGACCATGCCTTATGGCACTTGCAGGAATATAGTTAAGGATACCTATAACTTGTTGCAAAGCGTCACTTAAAATAGTAACTTTAGAACAGAGATTTTGCTGATGCAAAATACAATGAAAAGAAAGGAGAGTATCTAGATCTGTTAATAATTTTTTATCTGAGCAATAAACCTTTCATGTTTTCCTGTCATAGAAGGTGCACCATTTGTACATATAGGCACTAAATTTACCAAATTCAGTCCAATTTTACAACATTTATCTTGAAAGTTGTTGAAGATTTATCTCTTCCCTTTGTTCTGTTTGTAAGAGTGCCCAAAGTAAATAACTCTTCTGAGCAAAGAAAATCTTCTGTTATGATCTGAATGAAGTATAAAACCTGTGCTGAGTCAGTAGTAACAGTTGATTCATCCAAAGGGACTGAGTAATAATTTTCCTTTTGAAGTATTGCATGAAGTTGTTCTGTTAAGTTGAAGGCTAATTCATACTGGTGCTCAGTTATGGTTTTCCTTAAAAGAGATAGTTGTGGCTTGGCGCCCGTAGCACAGTGGTTACGGCGCCAGCCACATACACCAAGGGTGGCGGGTTCAAACCCGGCCCAGGCCAGCTAAACAACTGCAACAATAAAATAGCTCCTCATTGTGCCAGGCGCCTGTAGTCCCAGCTACTTGGGAGTCTGAGGTAAGAAAATTGCTTAAGCCCAAGAGTTTGAGGTTGCTGTGAGCTGAGATGCCACTGTGCTCCACTGAAGGCAACATAGACTCTGTCTCAAAAAAAAAAAAGAGGCAGTTGTTTGTACTTTGAAATGTTATTAGGGTCTAAGTATCCTACAGTTTTGACAATGTATTCTTTTACAATTTCTGAGTCACTAAACGACTTCCCTTTTTTCTTGAGTACATTCTGCTTTATAAGTTGGTTCAGGAGTATTATTTCTAGGTCTTATTGCTATTAAAAGAATTATCTTTGCTTTTCCTTTTTGTCTTTTAATTTCTGCAGTATAACCTTTTTCTCCAATTAATTAGTCCTTATAAGAGAATTTGTAGTTCTTATATCATAATTGAATTTGTTTAATGTTGATGTTGCCATGTCATAGAGCAAACAAATCATCTTACTTTTAGCAGACACAAGATGATATTGAAATTCTCAATGCTCATTAAAAAATCTGTTTTAGGGCAGTGCCTGTGGCTCAGTGGGTAGGGTTCCGGCCCCATATACTGAGGGTGGTGGGTTCAAACCCGGCCCCGGCCAAACTGCAACAAAAAAATAGCTGGGTGTTGTGGCATGCGCCTGTAGTCCCAGCTGCTCAGGAGGCTGAGGCAAGAGAATTGTCTAAGCCCAGGAGTTGGAGGTTGCTGTGAGCAGTGTGACGTCACGGCACTCTACCAAGAGCTATAAAGGGAGACTCTGTTTCTACTAAAAAAAAAATCTGTTTCATTTCTTCACCATTCTCTTGGTCTTCTTTGACATGATGGGCTGTTAAGTAGACA